AGTGTAAACGACACTTGGAGAAATAAAGTTTATCATTTATCAAAGGCACTCAGGTTTTGGAGTTTTTTTTCCTTATGGTATTTTTTTCCGTTTTGCGACTTATTTTCCTCCAAGAGATCATCCAGTGTTAGACAATCTCTATTACTGAGAGAGTAAGAAATTGAGAGAGAGAGAGAGAGAGAGAGAGAGAGAGAGAGAGAGAGAGAGAGAGAGAGAGAGAGAGAGAGAGAGAGAGAGAGAGAGAGAGAGAGAGAGAGAGAGAGAGAGAGGGGAGGGAGAGAGAAAAAACAGACACCTGAAGACCTTCGCCTCGCGGGCCATATCAAGGCTATCTACCCACAAGGACTAAGCTACAGTCTAGTTATCTCAACTGCCTTGCCAGGTGGCATCAGGCGAGTATAGTCATGCATTAGGCTTTCTTACTCCTCCCATCAATCCCTCTGACCATGCTCCTAACATCAATGTGCAGATGAAGCAAATTACTCTCCTGTATGGAAAGAAATTCTAGGATATTTAATAGGGAAAGAGGTCATAGAATATATACACGGAGAAGTATATGACTGAGTGTATATTCACTGAGTTTTCTGTGAGCTTCATTTTAGAGATCAGAGTGTTCTTCGTGTTTGTGTACGTGAATGGCAATTTCAATGCCTAGAGTGTAGTCGATAAACTTTAAGCCTAACACTAACTTAAGTTACTATACGAAGTGCTGCTATCCACTGAACATGTATGGTATGTTTGTATGGTACGTGAAGAAAAGATATCCAGCTGACTTATTGTTTTTCATAATGTCAACACAGGGAACACGAAGCACCAGGTAGAACAGCATACTGAGTGAGGAGTTGGCTAACTACCAGAATATCAGCCAGCTTCTCTGCTACTTGAGTTATATCCGATATTATGATAAACCTGATGCTGCATCATGTATATTGCGACATAATACTTTATCCAGGTAGGTACTACCATCCTGTTTGATGAAAGTGTATCGAAAGTTTATTAAAAATTTTGCACTAGGAGGCCTGATTGTGCAGTTCTTTGTCTGCTGAACACGAAAGATGACGGGTATATCTTACAAATTCCTACTTATATTTAGGTCTAGCCTGTATATTTTAGGTCTAGCCTGTATATTTTAGGTCTAGCCTGTATATTTTAGGTCTAGCCTGTATATTTTAGGTCTAGCCTGTATATTTTAGGTCTAGCCTGTATATTTTAGGTCTAGCCTGTATATTTTAGGTCTAGCCTGTATATTTTAGGTCTAGCCTGTATATTTTAGGTCTAGCCTGTATATTTTAGGTCTAGTCTGAAAACGAGTCTCGGAGACGATGATTCCCGGTATCAAAAATAAATATAACAAAGAAATAGGTGTCTCAGAAGACCTGGATAGCTATATATTTACACCAAATATACAATAATCCCTAACATGGGAATCAAGGTAAGCTCTCGGCGTATATAAACTTATTTAGTGTCTGACAAACTATAACTAACCTCACTCGTTAAATTCAAATGATACTTAATGAATTAAAACCTCTTTTTATTGCATAGCAACCTTGAGAATATCCGACCCAGAGGAACGTTTAACATGAGAGGCGTTGATACGCAATAATGATGACATTATTATTATTATTATAATCAAGGGGAAGCGCTAAACCCGGAGGATTATACAGCGCCTGGAGGGGGATGTGGAAGGCATTCAGGCTTAATTCGGGGAACTGGAGCACAGATCCAATTCCCTAAATCAAGAGCCCCTCACCAACATCAAGGAACCTTCCTTGAGGGGAATAATGATGACAGAGCAATGAATAATAAATATTTCTAGTGTACAACCATAGAATTAGACGAGGATGATTACGGTCCTAGTGTAAGACCATAGAACTAGATGAGTAAGATAACATTCCTAGTGGTAGGACCATAGTACTAGAAGATGATAACATTCCTAGTGTAGGACCACAATACTAGACGAGAATGATAACAATCCTAGCGTAGTGTAATAAACATTCACTGTTGCCATCTCTACCTTAACTCTTTAAACCCTTAACAAAAATATCTAAGACCTCCAATTTATACACTTGATTTGTTCGTTATACAAAATTAAAAAGGAAATGATAATCCGAGCAATAAAGATAACAGGGATAACATAAGGAAAACAATTTATAAGGAAACAAGCAAACGAACACGTGGCTGTGTTTACATTGGTGACGTCACTACCAAGAGTGGCCTGATGCAACGCTGCCACATAACCTGCAAGTCTTCATTTACATTACAAATTATATAAGAATTCCAAATTAAATCCTCAACATTCGTGCTTAACAATAAGTTATATTAAACATTGAATACCTGTGAATTATTACACCGGATAATAAATCATTAATCTTGAGTTACACTCATGCTTTCCGACACCACCGCATCCTCACACCATTGTCATATAATAATAATAATAATAATAATAATACATATGGTGCATTAAAAACCCGTAGTATGTACAGCTTTTCTAGCATCAAGTAATAGTAGGTAATTAGGGAAGTGAAGTAAAGCTGGAATGAAAGAAATCAAATTTTGCTCAGGTTCAATACATTATTATATATATATATATATAATATATATATATATATATATATATATATATATATATATATATATATATATATATATATATATATATATACATATATATATATATATATATTGCATTATGTAATTGGCTCAGATAACAGAATGTTGAGGCACAGTCCCTGGACCCATAATGTGTTAGTAAACTATATATCCAACAGGAAAGGTATGAAGTGATTACTACCCACAGGATGGGTACAGTGACTACCACCCACAGGATGGGTACAGTGACTACCACCCACAGGATGGGTACAGTGACTACCACCCACAGGATGGGTACAGTGACTACCACCCACAGGATGGATACAGTGACTACCACCCACAGGATGGGTACAGTGACTACCACCCACAGGATGGGTACAGTGACTACCACCCACAGGATGGGTACAGTGACTACCACCCACAGGATGGGTACAGTGACTACCACCCACAGGATGGATACAGTGACTACCACCCACAGGATGGGTACAGTGACTACCACCCACAGGATGGGTACAGTGACTACCACCCACAGGATGGGTACAGTGACTACCACCCACAGGATGGGTACAGTGACTACCACCCACAGGATGGGTACAGTGACTACCACCCACAGGATGGGTACAGTGACTACCACCCACAGGATGGATACAGTGACTACCACCCACAGGATGGGTACAGTGACTACCACCCACAAGATGGGTACAGAGTGACTACCACCCACAAGATGGGTACGGTGACTACCACCCACAAGATGGGTACCGTGACTACCACCCACAAGATGAGTACAGAGTGACTACCACCCACAGGGTCGTTATAGGGTAACTATCGCCAAAGGATAGGCCTTGGATGTAAAACAAATAACTTACTAGATAAATGAAACAAATTATATAGTGATACATCAACATAGAAACAAAATCTGAACACAAACTCATACAATATGTCTCCCGTTGCACTAGGCTTTAATAATAATAATAATAATAATAATAATAATAATAATAATAATAATAATAATAATAATAATAATCTTTATTTTTATAAGTACATGTACAAGGTATACAGCTGACATCAAAGACATATTACTATTTAGAAACTCCTTATCTGACTTTTTTAAGTTATCCCAGGTTCTTTACACATATGCTGCTATGTATGCTAATCTATGTAACTGTATTTTTGTATACCTGAATAAACTTACTTACTTGTTACGAAGAGCACTTCGGGAAAATTAGGTCAGTTTTGTCCCCAGGATGCGACCCACACCAGTCGACTAGCACCCAGGTACTTGTTTTACTGGTAGGTTAACAGTGACAGTAGCACTCTTAAGGAAAGAGGTCCTAATGTTTCCACTCGTACCGGGAACTGATCCCCGGACCTCAGTGTGTGAGCTGAGTGCGCTAGCAATGGGATATACATGTACTTGCATACCCGTGTTGCTAATACTAATGTAATTATGTATCGCGTATACCGCGCTCCTAAAATTAGTTATACGCCGCGTTACTAGTACTAGTATAATTATATATCCCATTAAAAGTGCTATTTATATATAGGGAATTGACTATTAGTTATATATCGAAATACATATCGGATTAGTGGATAATAAGGAAGCCTTACGTTTTAATGACCTGGCTCGAGATATTACCTCATTAGTGTCCCCGTGTTATATGTATGTGATAGTCATCCGTAGCAACCCCAGCCCTGCTGGAGGGAGACTTGTGAAACTGCCTCAGCTGCTGAACTTCACGATATCCCGATATCCTCAGCTCCTCCCTGCTAGGCTCCCAGCTCAGGCTAATGGCACATTATTACTATCTCGTGTGTAAGACCCAGTCTGTGATGAAGTGTGTGAGGAAAACTATCCTATGCGATGGAGTAGGATAGGAAACACCATCCTATGGGAAGGTGTAGGATTGTGAAACACCATCCTGTGGGATGGAGTTGTGTAGGAAACACCATCCTATATGGAGCAGGATTAGGAGACACCATCCTGTGGGATGGAGTCCCACTGCATCACAGGATGGTTTCCCCATCCAGGGAAACCATCCTGTGATGCAGTATGATGGAATACGGTAGGACAACCATATTACTTTTATTTAATCAATAGAGACGGAAGTAAATTACTGCTTATATTAATCCATATAATTTAGAAAACGTATATATATTATCAACAGCACTTGTGAAGTTGATAAAATTATGTAATCGAACAGTGTGTGGCATACGAGAATATATTTCTTGACTCAAATCAGGTTTAATCACTGCCTAATTTCCTCGTGGGAAATTAGGGGGTGATTAAATTATTATCCACCCCCTAATTTCGAAGGAATGAACTTTCATCATGCTGAAAAATCTATACGAGTTTAGCAATAAAGAAATATTTTAGGTGGAAGAGGCTGAAAAAAACAAAAAGAAAAACTTACCTGACTGAGCCAAGACCTCTATGTCAGAGTCCGTCTCGTTGCCGAAGTCCTCGGGGACGACCGTGGAGACCTCGTCGTCTTCGTCGTTATCGTCACATATCGTGTCGTCAGTCCCCACGTCTCCCTCTCTTTTACTTGTACAGGTGGAGGCAGTGTTGGTGGTGGAGTCAGTGTTGGTGGAAGAGGCAGTGTCGGTAGTGGAGGCAATGTTGGTGACTGTGGCGGTGGTATTGGTGGGGGAGTAAGTGTTATTGGTGCCAGAGGAGAGGCGTGGTATTGCATTAGTGGGTTTGATTAATGTTTTTAATCTCTGGTGTTGTGAGGGAGAAGAAGGAAGGAGCAAGGGAGTTGTTGTCATCGCCATCATCGCATCTTCTTCCTCTTCTCGGTGTCGCTTTCTTTCTCTAGCGTCCCGCTCGTCCAGGTACCTTCGTTTCCTTTGAGAGAATCCCTCTTGTGAGGTTATTCCTTCATCTGTGTCAGAGTCGGACTCTGCTGGGGGGGAGGGCAGACGCGAGTACTGTCCTGGCCCAACAGATCGAGTAATCTTGTATATATCAAAGGCTCGGATATCTTCCCTGTAGGTCACTCTGTTCCTTAAATGCCCACCCTCATCACCTCTAGATTTGTTCGTCCTAGGCAGTGAACGATTATGATATAAAGAATTTTGCAGAGGATCTAGCGGCGGTGCGTTGTCACCAGGTGTACCAGTGGAATCATTTACGCTGGCTAGCATATATGGGTTCATTGTGTCCGTGGCGCGAGATAACGGGTTCATCTTGTCCACAACGCAAGAGTCTGCACCACTACGGCGCAGAATAGACAAAGTGTCCTCAGACTGAGAGCGACGGACACACTGACGTCGCCACCGCCATCTGCCAGCCCTGCTGCTCGAGTTGCCGAGAGTCGCAACTTGCCTCGACTTGAAAGGAACTCTTCTAGGCAAGTCAGGGCGGCACATCATCTCACCCAGTTCATGGCTGTGGTTTCTCTCGACTAAATTAGATGATGTTTCATTCTGAAACTCGTCTCGCTTAGATGCCTTCTGGTCCTCCTGACGACGAGAAATTAACTCCTTATCGGGAATGGAAGTCAACTCCTGATTTATCTGTAGTTCCGTGCCCACATTGTCCGCCTCGGAGTTGGTCATGTCATAATCTGGACGAGCTGAAAGTTGGTTAGACTCGGTACATACACACTTTTCAGCCGTAACGGGAGACGATTCTTTAGGCACCATTAGGCTAGCGACCTCCAAAACCTGGCTGTAAGATATGTGGTTGTCAGTGGAGTTTGGTGTGTGAGATGAATCCAAATGCGGTAAATAGTTCTCCCACCAGTGGAGGGCGGGGGCAGAAGTTTTGTCCACCTGAGTGATTATGTTCATCCAAGAGATCCATCTCGCTGACCAGCTGGATACTAAAAACGTATTAGAAGGCAGACCTGATGTGTAGTTCTGCGGAGTGTCAAGAATGACCCAAGAACTGCAGGGGTCGATCATGTCCACCTTGGCTTCAACAAGGAGATGCCTGGTATCTGTTGGCTGGTTGCTGGCAGTCGTTTTACACCCACTATAAAGTTCACGCCCGCCACACCCGTCCTCGTCACATAGTGTCTTCCGTACGTCATACAGAGCCTTGCCCTGAGTGTGGGCGTGAATCCTGCCCCTGTCATGAGCATGAAATCTGCCGCTGCCATGGGCGTGAGATGCAGTATCATGGGCTGTGGGCAGCTGGGGTTTTGGAGTAGAATCAAAGAGTTTCGTGAACCCAGGCTGATAAGAGTCGCCACCCAGGAACCACCACAGTGCTTGTGACAACACGCCGCTGACCACGCTCACCATGATGACGCGCTACACCTCTGCCAGAGATCAATTATTGTTGTATTTAGCGCTAAACCCTTGGGGTCCAGACAACAAGAAGGAACAAAAATTCTGAGGCGTCGTTTTCTAATTCATCAGCAACGTCGTTTTCTCATTCTTCCAAGGAGCCACTATACAGCAGCCTCGTCAGTTGAAACTTGCAGATTTACTCGTAATGTTGACATCACTTGTAAGAGAGCAGCTCTTAATGCCTTCATAAATGCGAAGGTTCGTCAACTCTGGATGTGGAAACTGCCTTTCATTCACTGTGAGGAAGAAAGACAGAGTGAGAGGGCAAGGTTACTCACAGGTGTGTCAAATATTCACTTAACTTTTATAGGGAATGTCAACATTTGTAACTAATTTGAGAGATTCGAGTGAATTCATGCAAAAGAAACGTAAAAAAAAATTAAGAAAAAACAAGCTGCGTTCAACAGTTTTATAAATCTAGATGGGATAATAACGAGAGAAGTTGAGAATTTAACAAAAAGGGGTTATAGGGCAGGAGTGAGAGGTTGTAAGTGTTGTGGTTGTGATGGTGGTGGTAGTTTTGATAATGGTTGTTGTGACGATGGTTATTGTGGTGGTGGTTATGAGGTTTGGATGGTGGTGGTTGTGGTTGTGAAGAGGGTGGTGGTGGTGGTGTGAGTGCCAAGTGTATTTATTTATAGCCAGAGTTAGTCTACGGGGATAAACAGCCAAGTTTGACTACCACATACAGGGTCAAGGTCACCCCGACTGTGAGGGGTGAAGCAGGTCACCCAGAGGCTCAGTCACTGTCATTACCACAAGTACTCAATCACGGGGCCAGGAGCTATTACCTGGAGTTTACCTGGAGAGAGTTCCGGGGGTCAACGCCCCCGCGGCCCGGTCTGTGACCAGGCCTCCTGGTGGATCAGAGCCTGATCAACCAGGCTGTTGCTGCTGGCTGCACGCAAACCAACGTACGAGCCACAGCCCGGCTGATCAGGAACTGACTTTAGGTGCTTGTCCAGTGCCAGCTTGAAACTGCCAGGGGTCTGTTGGTAATCCCCCTTATGTGTGCTGGGAGGCAGTTGAACAGTCTCGGGCCCCTGACACTTATTATATGGTCTCTTAACGTGCTAGTGACACCCCTGCTTTTCATTGGGGGGATGGTGCATCGTCTGCCGAGTCTTTTGCTTTCGTAGTGAGTGATTTTCGTGTGCAAGTTCGGTACTAGTCCCTCTAGGATTTTCCAGGTGTATATAATCATGTATCTCTCCCTCCTGCGTTCCAGGGAATACAGGTTTAGGAACCTCAAGCGCTCCCAGTAATTGAGGTGTTTTATCTCCGTTATGCGCGCCGTGAAAGTTCTCTGTACATTTTCTAGGTCGGCAATTTCACCTGCCTTGAAAGGTGCTGTTAGTGTGCAGCAATATTCCAGCCTAGATAGAACAAGTGACCTGAAGAGTGTCATCATGGGCTTGGCCTCCCTAGTTTTGAAGGTTCTCATTATCCATCCTGTCATTTTTCTAGCAGATGCGATTGATACAATGTTATGGTCCTTGAAGGTGAGATCCTCCGACATAATCACTCCCAGGACTTTGACGTTGGTGTTTCGCTCTATTTTGTGGCCAGAATTTGTTTTGTACTCTGATGAAGATTTAATTTCCTCATGTTTACCATATCTGAGTAATTGAAATTTCTCATCGTTGAACTTCATATTGTTTTCTGCAGCCCACTGAAAGATTTGGTTGATGTCCGCCTGGAGCCTTGCAGTGTCTGCAATGGAAGACACTGTCATGCAGATTCGGGTGTCATCTGCAAAGGAAGACACGGTGCTGTGGCTGACATCCTTGTCTATGTCGGATATGAGGATGAGGAACAAGATGGGAGCGAGTACTGTGCCTTGTGGAACAGAGCTTTTCACCGTAGCTGCCTCGGACTTTACTCTGTTGACGACTACTCTCTGTGTTCTGTTAGTGAGGAAATTATAGATCCATCGACCGACTTTTCCTGTTATTCCTTTAGCACGCATTTTGTGCGCTATTACGCCATGGTCACACTTGTCGAAGGCTTTTGCAAAGTCTGTATATATTACATCTGCATTCTTTTTGTCTTCTAGTGCATTTAGGACCTTGTCGTAGTGATCCAATAGTTGAGACAGACAGGAACGACCTGTTCTAAACCCATGTTGCCCTGGGTTGTGTAACTGATGGGTTTCTAGATGGGTGGTGATCTTGCTTCTTAGGACCCTTTCAAAGATTTTTATGATATGGGATGTTAGTGCTATTGGTCTGTAGTTCTTTGCTGTTGCTTTACTGCCCCCTTTGTGGAGTGGGGCTATGTCTGTTGTTTTTAGTAACTGTGGGACGACCCCCGTGTCCATGCTCCCTCTCCATAGGATGGAAAAGGCTCGTGATAGGGGCTTCTTGCAGTTCTTGATGAACACAGAGTTCCATGAGTCTGGCCCTGGGGCAGAGTGCATGGGCATGTCATTTATCGCCTGTTCGAAGTCATTTGGCGTCAGGATAACATCGGATAGGCTTGTGTTAATCAAATTTTGTGGCTCTCTCATAAAAAATTCATTTTGATCTTCGACTCTCAGTCTGGTTAGCGGCTTGCTAAAAACTGAGTCATATTGGGACTTGAGTAGCTCACTCATTTCCTTGCTGTCATCTGTGTAGGACCCATCTTGTTTAAGTAGGGGCCCAATACTGGACGTTGTTCTCGATTTTGATTTGGCATAGAAGAAATACTTTGGGTTTCTTTCGATTTCATTTATGGCTTTTAGTTCTTCCCGCGATTCCTGACTCCTAAAGGATTCTTTTAGCTTAAGTTCGATGCTTGCTATTTCTCTGACCAGTGTCTCCCTACGCATTTCAGATATATTGACCTCTTTTAGCCGCTCTGTTATTCTTTTCCGTCGCCTGTAAAGGGAGCGCCTGTCTCTTTCTATTTTACATCTACTCCTCCTTTTTCTTAGAGGAATAAGCCTTGTGCATACATCGAGTGCCACCGAGTTAATCTGTTCTAGGCATAAGTTGGGGTCTGTGTTGCTTAGTATATCTTCCCAGCTTATATCGGTTAGGACTTGGTTTACTTGGTCCCACTTTATGTTTTGTTATTGAAGTTGAATTTGGTGAATGCTCCCTCGTGACTAGTCTCATTATGTCGGTCTGGGGCTCCACGCATACATGTCTGAACCTCAATTATGTTGTGATCTGAGTATATTGTTTTTGATATGGTGACATTTCTTATCAGATCATCATTGTTAGTGAAGATGAGGTCTAGTGTATTTTCCAGTCTAGTAGGCTCTATTATTTGCTGGTTTAAATTGAATTTTGTGCAGAGATTTAAAAGCTCGTGTGAGTGTGAGTTTTCATCAGAGCTGCCTCCTGGTGTTATTACTGCAACAATATTATTTGCTATATTCCTCCATTTTAGGTGCCTTAAGTTGAAATCCCCCAGGAGCAAGATGTTGGGTGCAGGAGCTGGAAGATTTTCCAGACAGTGGTCAATTTTTAACAGCTGTTCCTGGAATTGCTGGGATGTTGCATCCGGAGGCTTGTAGACTACCACAATGACTAGGTTTTGGTTCTCGACCTTTACTGCTAAAACTTCCACTACATCATTTGAGGCATTAAGCAGTTCTGTGCAAACAAGTGACTCTGCAATGTCTCGACCTCGACTCGACCTCTGCAACCACAATTGAGCACATGTCTAAGCGTCTACAATCTACCTGTCAGCTGTTGTCTCTTAGTTCCCTCACTGTCATCAAGAAGTTCGACGATGTATTTACAACAGAGACAAAGAAAAACATTCCGGTCTATTGCATCTGATGTATTAAACGAGGGAAGAAAATAGATGTATTCCAGCAACCGGAAGATACAAAAAATGTATCCTAGTATCCCGTATGATACGAAAAATGTATCCCAGTATCCCGTAAGATACAAAAAATGTATCCCAGTATCCCGTAAAATAGGAAAAATGTATCCCAGTAACCCGTAAATTAGGAAAAATGTATCCCAGTATCTGGTAAGTCCATAACCCTGCACATCTTTCATACGAGAAAGATATCCTAATATTCCGTGAGTCAGGTTCTCTCTACTCACTAAAACGAGTAAGGTATTCCAGTATCCCACAAGCGCTGCCCCCTGTACCTCATTGACACGAGAAAGGTATCCCGGTATCCCATAAGCCCTGCACCCTCTTCTTCAATGATACAAAGAAGGTATCCCATTATCCCATAGCCCAGCCCTCTCTACCTCAATGATACGAGAAAAGTATCCCATGTGCCCAGCCTCTCTACGTCAATGATACGAGAAAAGTATCCCATGTGCCCAGCCTCTCTACGTCAATGATACGAGAAAAGTATCCCATGTGCCCAGCCTCTCTACGTCAATGATACGAGAAAAGTATCCCATGTGCCCAGCCTCTCTACGTCAATGATACGAGAAAAGTATCCTATGTGCCCAGCCTCTCTACCTCAATGATACGAGAAAAATATCCCATGTGCGCAGCCTCTCTACCTCAATGATACGAGAAAAGTATCCCATATGCCAGCCTCTCTACCTCAATGATACGAGAAAAGTATCCCATGTGCCAGCCTCTCTACCTCAATGATACGAGAAAAGTATCCCATGTGCCAGCCTCTCTACCTCAATGATACGAGAAAAGTATCCCATGTGCCAGCCTCTCTACCTCAATGATACGAGAAAAGTATCCCATGTGCCAGCCTTTCTACCTCAATGATACGAGAAAAGTATCCCATGTGCCAGCCTCTCTACCTCAATGATACGAGAAAAGTATCCCATGTGCCAGCCTCTCTACCTCAATGATACGAGAAAAGTATCCCATGTGCCAGCCTCTCTACCTCAATGATACGAGAAAAGTATCCCATGTGACCAGCCCCTCTACCTCAGTGATACGAGAAAAGTATCCCATGTGACCAGCCCCTCTACCTCAATGATACGAGAAAAATATCCCATGTGCCCAGCCCCTCTACCTCAATGTATGCAGAAGGAATAGTGCAGTGTGATATAAGTTCATAATGGAATTAAATAACAACATTGAAGAGTTGAAGTCAGAAGAGGCATACACAAATTATCACATGGGAACTAATATTGCAGTACCTTCAGTAAAATTTGCATCTACATAGCCCAAAGAACTCATAACCTTTTTTTTAACACAGCTCATTTCAAAGCCTATGTATATTATAACTAAGGTATATTATCACCCCCAGGATGCTACCCACAACAGTCGACTAAAGCCCAGGTACCTATATATTGCTAGGTACAAAGGG